AAGGTTGCAGAGTTTGATGTTGCCAATAATATTCCAGGATAAAAAAAGCTTTAGTTCCTTATGAGGAAAGGCACAAAGGTTTTGTAACTGCCAACCTTATTCTCCTTTGGATACTTCGGTCTGTATACTTCTCTCGCAATAGCTCAGTGTATTTTAATTATAATTTTATATTTGTGTATATACATGCATAATATACACACACTTGCACACAGGCAAAGAACTTTTCCTAATGAAAGGCAGGGTATAGTCATGGAATGTACTGCAGCTAAGGCAACAAGTTACAACTAACAGCATGTACATGGTGCCAGAGGGAGGTATTTCTTGCGGAATCAAGCTTTTATTTTCGGGATGCATTGTTCTGGAATTGCAGGTAACATTAAGACATTTAAGTTTCCATCTACATTTGTATGATATGGTAGTTATGCCTAGATATTAGTAGGTGCATTGCTGAAAGTCCATTACTTTCTGGGGCTAAAACACTTCAATGTTACCTGGCTTGTTTGCATCACGATGACATAGTAAATGTCAATACAATATGTGCCCAAGATGTGATAATGCCGTATAACATTGAATATAGTTTATGTGTAAGTGGTTGTATGTTGGACTTAAACGGGTTTTTTTCCCTCTAATATGCACAATGTTTGAAAGTAGTTATCGTATGTTTACAAAAAAAGCGAAGAGTTCAGAGGAGTGGATTTAATACATTGCTCTTCTGATGGCAGTAGATACAAAAATCCAAATTTTCTGATATTGTTCTCACTGGAAGTTCCTTGGAGATTACTAATGCCTTGGCTGAATTTGGATTCTAAGTGAAGTCATAATAGAAACAGGTCTTTAGTGCAGTAAGTATGTGGCAGGCTTACATAAGAGCAATGTGATTTGAATTTGGGATAGCAGGGACTCAGCCCAAAACTGGAAAACTCAATTGTTGAGTTGCTTAAGGAACCTGCTGAACATCTGCCATTGCTGTATGACTCTAATTGGGAATGCCAGCACTTTGTTTTTCAATACCATAATAAGGCAGACTGTTTGGAAAGTTAAAACTCTAGAAAACATGGAGTGGATTTTCTTTGTTCACAGAGCGTGTCTTGGTGTCAAACTAACCAAGTGCCCTTACCTGATGCATTTAGATGCAGCTGAGGTGATGATGTCTGTTCCACCTGCAAGCTTCCCTGAATATAATATTCTGTGTTTTCCACGTATCCAGCACCTGTTGCCTTGGTGATACGATGTATTGTAATATTCTTACAGTACTTAAGGGAGTTCCCAGCAGTCTGAAGAACAGCATTTTCTACCTGGAAGAGTTTACGCCTCTCTATTTGTAAGATCTTCTTCCTAATGTCTTGTTATTCTTATTAGTGGGCACTTATATGTAATTTGCAGCCCTTTAGGCTTTTTGTTTCTAACATTTGGTAGGAAAAGTGTGACTTAAAGCCACTGAACTTTACTTCTGTGCAATAGATGAGGGGTTTTGAGCTGGCTTCTAGCTTTGGGAAATACCCAAACATTAAGGTCTTTCAAGAGTTAATACTGTGCATGTGTTCTGATTTGTAATTAATTTATGTAACTGTACTTAACTGTGACATGTAATATTTAAAGTACCAACATGAACTGTTGTCAAAAAGGATTAATAAACAGAATAAATGCTAATCTTGGAATGATCTTCCAGTACAATGGAATAGTTGACTGGGGGATTGACCCTAGATAGCCCTTTGCTCACTCTTCACCCTTGACCCCAGCAAGATGGGAGAACAAAAAGAGCAAAATGAGAAAACTCATGGGTTGAGATAAAAGCAGTTTAATGTGTGAAGGAAACTGGAAGAAGAAAGCCAAGGTGTGCAATGCAAAGGTAATCCTCCCATGACCTCCCACAAGTAGGGCAGTAGCAATCCCCCCACCTCCCCGCCAAAAAAAAAGCCCTCTCCTCAGCTTTTATTGCTGAGCAGACATTACATGGCACAGAATATCCCTGCTGGCCAGTCGGTGTCAGGTGTGCAGGTTGTGCCCACTACACGCTTTTTGCCCACTGGAGAGGGCAGAGCAGAAAAAAGAGAAGGCCTTGGTGCTGTGCACGCACTGCTCAGCAATCGCCAGAACACTGCTGTGTTACCAACACTGTTCCAGTCAAACCCAAAACATGGGCTGCTCTGAAGAAAGTCACCTCTGTCCCAGCCAGACTCAGTATGCTGGCAAATGTACACAAAAGCAAAAAGGTCAAGTTTTATATCTTAACTTTTGAGAAGGGTTGCACAAATGATGATAAGACTGGAAAGATAAAAATCTGGATATAATTCTAGCTTCCAGAGCTTTGCTGATGAGTGAGATGGAGAATCTCACTTATCCCTGATAGCAATAGACAGGCCTCAAACCAGCTCAAACAACGAAGTGTTAAACAGAGGAACATTAATTACTGAGGAATGCTCAGCATCTCGTTAGCATTTTTCAGCACAGAACTGTGTTCATTTTCCTTCTACATTGACAAGCACTCTTGGACTCTGCAGATAATTTTTTTAATTAGGAAAGAAATATTTTGTGAAATGCCTATCCTAATACTTTGAATACGGTTCTGAGCTACTGGCTGTCCTCTGGAACAGGCAGTGGGCAAATTCCATTGACTATGTCACCATCTTCCATAGAAGATTTTAGTTATTTTAAAACTTAAAAAATCATCTGTAGAGCTTTCCAAGGAGCAAAGATCAATAACCAGAGTGAACACAGTAGCTCTTACTCTCCAAGAGCCTGGAGAAGCAAAGGAAAGTTGTTTAGCCACTGCCCCAGCTCTGTTCTTTGATCCAGTATTAGCAATCCTGAGAAAAGCTGCTTTTTTGACCTCATGTTTAGAAATGACAAAGCTTTATTTGTACTGTTTTGCTCAAGTGTTTTACATAAACTCCCAACCTAATGTGAACCCAAAAAATAATGCTGTTATGCTGAACTACTAAAAGCTTCCTCTGAAAGGATGAAACAGATACACATACAATGCTGTTAAATTAAGAATGAAAGAAAAGTTTGTGTTTTGACTACGGACAGCATTTTTAACGTGCTTAAAGTAGTAATAGCTCCCCAAACTATTCCAAAGTCTTTTTAAGTGAGAGCTGTAAATAAAAGCATAAAAATGGGAGAAAATCAGTGAAAACAGTATTTGAAAACTGACAAACTTGGAAACAATAAAATGCTGCTTAAAAACTGTCATTTCAAACTGATGTGCAATGTTTATTGAAATGGTGAAAGTGCCTTCAGTGTTTGACAAGACAAACCACAGACAATCCCTATATGATGTACAGTCCAAAACAGATGGAGAGTTCACAGCCTTCAAGGGAAAGAAGAGACAAGACCACTGAGGAAGCCTGCCACAAAGAAGTGAAGTTTAGGAGAGATTTCAAGAGCTGAAAGTTACCTAGAATAGGGCAAGAACACCTTTTAGAGTGTTGGAGTTTACTGCTCCTCACGTGCTAAAATTTTTGCAAAAATGATTCAATAAATTTTGTTTTGTTTACTCTAATGGGAGCCTGCTGAAAAAAAAAATTGTGTGTTTACATTCCCATTTCATCTGCAGATGCTAATTAATCACATCACAGATGAGGAAACAGAATTTTATAAAACTTGTAAACTAGTAGCTAAACTGAGTCATGCCCATTAGATATGATGCATTCATGACTATACAGCCTTCAGGAGTAATTTTTTATTCTGTAGTGGAGTGGGCAAGCTGACCAATTGTATTACTTATCTTTTAGCTGGTTTTTTTGGAATACTGGCTATTAGTGGAAGCACGAGATCAGATTTGTCAACCTGGATGCTGACCCAGTTTGGCAGCTCAGTGTTTATAATCATTGTGTGGGCACATAGAAGGATTTCAGTCACTCTTTCTAGAATGCTCATCTAAAGCTAGCAGGCAGGAAATGTGGCCCTATAATGGTTTAAAAAAACACCACCCCTCTATAAATAATATTTTTTCTATAATAATCCTTAGTTTCATTCAAAATAAAATGATAGAGCAAGGTTTTTTTTAGTTGCTCACAAAGTAGGTAAGACCTTGTTCTGTTTCCATCTGTTTTGATCAGAGGTGTGCTTAAAGATGTACTCAAGGGGTATTTAAACCAACCAGCAGCAGGAGAAAATGCATCAGAGGCTGCATAAGCATCTGCCACTAACTGCTTACAGTAGTTACAGTGAGAACTTAGATTGCTCATATTTAACTATTTGAGCCAGCCTTAAGAACTAGTAAATTTATATAAGCTGGAGTTGCATCTTGGGGTGCTCAGAGTACACATTGACTCAACTGTGTGTCTTGCCATGGATTATTTGTACAATTTCTAGCAATGTATTCCATTTCCTGGTAATTACACCCCCATTAGTTGGCTGGTGACATTTGAAGCACCTGATGCTGCTTCCCGTGAGCTATGAACTAACACTACAGCAGACCTGACTGAATTTCAGAACTGACAGAATTAAACAAAAGTCATTCCATAGCTGCTTTTTAAAAAGCTCGATTTGTTTTGAAATCCAAATGTATGTAAAGACTTCATCTAATGGGAGCTGAAGTCTCCTGAGGTGTGCTCACATCACTTTGGCAAAAAATGCTTTTCCAAAAAAATCAAATCATTTTAAATGCCTTAAGATCACAAATGACATGCCTTATTTTCAGCTGCAAGACGTAGATTTATTTGGAAGAAATGGAGGGTTTGAAAACTAAGTGGACACACACCAGCAATGCCTGATGCAGCACATATTCCCCAGTTTCCAACATGGTAAAATTAAGTGGTGATTAAAACCCACCCCATCCATTTTTTACCTACATCTGACTCCCTTGTTCCCCAGATATACTTATTTCAGCACATTCATTTCTTCCTTTTTTCCTATTTTCATTGTCTTCTCACTAGAAAAAAAAGGAGGCAGAGTGATAATGAAATCTGTATTCTTATTTGCTCAGTCAAAAGGCTTATTTTGATGCAAATCCCAATTGGATGGAAACGTCAAACCAAAAAACCATTCTTTTAGGCTTTTTGCAATAAAGTTTTTTTTATATAAATAGCATAAAGTAACATCACTTTTATCAAGTTCTTAATTTATATTAAATTTTAATATCCTTTTGGTGCAAGAGAGTATCTTTAAAGACCCATCAAGTAGTGTAGTTAACACCACACAAAAGCTTTTATTTGCACTGATAAAAACCAGAACTTTAGATTTCTAATTTTACAGCTTTACTGATGGGAACTATCGTAAATACAGCTCCTGATTATTTTTAATAGCACTATTACAACTATTTTATGTAATCAATCCTTTTTTTTCCTTTTAAAAAGTTTGGACAGCTCACAACTGTGCTCTGAAAGCACAGCTTTGCCTTTGGTAAACGAGGTATGGGACAGCGCTGCTATATTTTTATTTATGCATTTGGCACTACAGGATCTCTCCTCTCGTAAAAAACATTGCCTCATTTTTGTGAAAGAAGAGCCTTTTTTTTCCTTAGGAATGTACAGGTGCCCCAGTACAGAATTTCTGTTGTCTTTCACATCTTTATATTGTGGCACCTTACTTCCTATGAAGGGGTATAGCTGAATTCACCAAAAAAACTGCAGAGCTTTGTGACCTTCTAGGGTATGACACAGCATTGGAAGAACAGAAGAGGTAAAAATGGTGTGAGATACAGAAGAAAAAGTACACAGGACACAGAAGGTTTGGAGAAAATATGATTATAAGAATAGGCTGTTAAAAACCAGGACTAGTGCAGCTCTCCAAAATACATGCAAGGTGCAACTAATTTAGGAACCATCAAATATCCTTGCTGTGGTATTTTAGTAAGTTTGGGAATTTTTTTCTCTTTCATGAAAATAGCTTCCACTTATTCAGTTTAACAGTGTGAAATTAAACTTAAATATATCCAGGCTCTTTGTGTGAAGAAGTATATGAATGCCCACAAAAGTTTTCAATTTCACGTTTTACAAATCTCAATCCCCCATGCAGCAAGTATTTCACAACCTGCAAGGATCAGTGTTGTATGGTAGGAAGTTAGTTATTTATTCTCAGTAACCTCAAAGCCAGCAGAGTCATTTGAAGAACTGTGATATACATAATAGTAGATGATAAAGACAATCCAATGGCAGCGTGATGGATTAGCTTATCATTTGTGATTTCTGTCCAAATCTCTACATTTTTACAATAATATGCTTTATCCTTCTCACCAATTTTCTCTCCTGCTCATGTCCCAGTAGGTAGCTGAGTTGAAATTCTGTAATGAAAACCTTTCAAGGTGCTATCTAGGTATGTTTGTCCAAATGGAACCATGCAGCAAAATTCATTCCATGACAAAGCCCTATTGTAGTAAAGTGATGACCACATCATCATCTTTTCCTTGCCAAAGCATTTCACCTTCAAAATGAACCAGACCATGTTTTCTGGCTCTTAACAAGATTCCTACTACTTTGTTGGAAATAGTCACGTATGTTTCAAACAGCTGCCCGAATGTCACACTCACGTGTCCATCTTCTCCCACCTGTCCAGTGCTTCTAATGATCAAGCACAGCTCTTCTACTTCCTTGCCCACGTGTGAATGAGCATCTTTCCCTCTCTGCTCTGTCCGAGACCCTTCAGGGGGTCTCCCATAGGTAGGATCTCCTCGGTGAGTGTGCGCAGGTTTAGATGCAAGCCTGTCGTCATTGCTGAACGGGTTCTTTTTCTGATACTCAATGTGATCCTCTGCCCAGGTCTGCCAACTTCTCCTCAGGTCACCCACTGCACTGGTAGCTTTAGCACTCTGCCCTTTATCTCCTTCCATTTCTTGAAAAACGTTTTGTGGTACTCAAGCAGGAAACAAATCAATGACTGCTTGTAACTGCGGTTCTTGGGTGCACTGTCAGCTGTAAAAGAAAAACAACAAATCTGCTCGATAATTTTTGGAGGAGTTTTGCTCAAGTGAGAGGAAAGGCTGCTGAAAAAGACAATAAATATCTGAAGACTTTTTTAAGTCCACCCATAATTCTACAGCAATGAAGAAAGTAGAAGTGATTCAGCTGAAATTCAGAAACAACGTTGGAACACAGTAAGTTATTCGTAAAAGCCTCTGTGCAACACAAACATAGTGCAGTACTTACTTTTCCTGCAATGATGCCTTTTAAAGAACTTTATCCTAGTACCCGGCAGCCCCGCTGACTTCCCAAACAACCCGATGCAGTGCTGGCTGACCCGGGAAGAGAGCAAACCATTCCCCGAGAGGCAGCACAGCAACCAATGTAAAGGGGAGGAAAGCCTTTCTCCTGCCTGCGCGCTGATTAAAGGTGGACAAATTCACGCTGTGCTGACAAGGTTCCCACAGACTGTGGAAGTTATTATGCACAGAAAATATTATCTGGAGCTGAAATGGCAGTACATGGTGGGAGCAGGAGGATTTTCCTCATCAGGCACTGCAAAGAGGAGTGGAAATCCCAGTTAGTGAGCGTGTCACTATATGCAACACCCTATTTAGTGAAGAAGACAAAACCCGAATAGATAGTTCTCCCTTAAAAGGCTGTGCTGCACAGCCATGTCTGCCAGCTACAAGCCACAGGCAGGCTCCAAGGCAAGGGAGCTTGTGCTCCAGAGGGGAAACTGCCTTACCGCTCCAGGTACACGGGCTGCCCACCACCTATGACATTACATGTACAGGATTATTTTGATGAATTAGGCACAGACTTTTGCATACCTACAGAGATCTGAATGTGTTATAACCATGTCTTTGCTGGGTCGTATTTTTCACCTGTTGAAATATGCAAACTAGAGTTTCCATATAGCACATTAGTAGAGCTGATACTTTTACTGACATTTGAAGACAGAACCGAGGATTAGTGCTAGTTTTTCTATGGGGAAATGGACAGAAATGCAAATTCTGAACAGTTTAACAACTGAATTATAAAATAGGTATTTCTATAATTTAAAAAGATTGCTGTTTTTAAGGTAGAATTTCATGGATATTTGTCCATACTGGGCAACTTGGCCCAAATTGCACCATATTGGTGCTGTTGCACATGAACCCATGAGCAGTGACAGAGCTCACTGAATGCCCCAGCAGAATGTGCAAGTCAGTCAAAAAACACTTGTGTCGCCTTTGGGTCCAGAAGAGGGCATGGAGTGAGCAGAAAATGGCAACACAATTGCTACAAAAGAGACCTGAGAATAATAAGCAGCAGCACACATTAAACAATGGCTTTTCAATCATGCTCTCTCACTTTTAAACTGAAACTCATGATTGGCATATTGATCCTATTGTTATATTTTTTTGTGAGAGGAAGGTGGTTAATTCTAGCTTCCTGGATAAATTTCAAGATGAGTAATTACATTTTAGGCTAAAAGGCTAAAAAAGGACAATTTTTCTTTCTTTCTCTCCCTAAAATAGTTACATAATGTTGTTGATTTAGGATGACTTCCCAAATCCACACTAACAAACTGCTTTATTCTCCTCAATGACATTACAGGAATGTATGTTCAGTTTACAAACACAGCATCTGAAAGGCATTTTGTTTTTACGTCAGAATCAAATACTCTGTAAGTCTTAGTAATGTACATTCACTTTCAAACTGAGCTAAAGTCTAAAGCAAGAAAAAAACAGGGCTTTAGTTAAATTCTTCTGCAGAAGCAATATCACTGGAAAACTGCGGTATTCATCTCATGAGAACAGACAGCAATGCTATGAAGATAAAGCAGTGCAGATAAAGTAAGCAAAAGCCAGTCTCAAAGAGATTAAGCTTAAAAATAATACCAATAACGCCTCCTAAGGAGTTTCAAAAATGGAAGCCATACAGCTAAGAAATTTAAAGTGAGACAGAATGTAAAAATAAAAGCAGGCTTCTTTCAATAAATCTCTCTCAGCAATCCCAAGATTTTGTAAGCAATCTCAGGCTCTCGGGGTTTGTCAGCAGTTCAGCAATGTGTTCATTGCTGGGTGCCAGCATTCAACTGCTCAGGTGAACAAGCCTGATCCACATCTACCTCTTTTCTTTCTCTTCTAGGAAAGTTCACGTTTAGCTGCCAGGTCACTTTAGATTGTTTTCTTGTCAATCATCAGGGCTAAAACTTCACAGTAAGCCTCAGTTTTGATTACTGCAGGAAGGGATAACTGGAGAAGCTGCAGGATGGGATTATGGAGATGCATAAGGAAGGTGGCCTGTGGAGTGCACACTGGTCATGAGAAAATTTTAGCCATCTAGAAAAAAAGCTGTCCAAAAATTAGCACATAAAATACAGAACATGAGTTCAGTGCTGAGCCGGCCTGATTCTAATGAAAAGCTTACCAAAATCTGGATAAGCCGAATCTCTCAACTCAACATAACAGGGAGATCAGTGAGTACAAGATTATAGTTATCAAGCCTAGATATTAAAAGAAAATATAATCCGCAAGACAAATCCCTTCCCTCCTCCCCCCCCCCGTTGGATCGTCACACCTCTGTCCTTCTCCTGGGAATCTGCTTCTCTACGTGGTCCGACACCCACGCCGCCGGTGCTGACCTCCTTCCCACGGAAAAACGAATGCGACTCCTCTGGCATCTGTTAATTCTTAATGTTATTTAATGCTCCAGACCCTTAAATGTGGCCAGGAGAGGCCGCAGCGCTGCCCTACCCGTGCTAACACCTCTGAGCCAGCGTGTGTCCCCAGGATACGTGTAGTTATTTATAAACCATACGCAGGCTCTGCTGTCCTGACACGTGGCGCGCATGATAAAGCACACACAAAATACAAATTACAAGAAGGATGAGAAGGAGACGAAATGAACAGTAGTTAGCGCAGAGTGCGCGCAGCACCCAGTCCTCCCGCCTCGCTCGGTCCGCGGGTATCCCTGTCATGTCACACGCCCCGGCCGGCGCTGATCCCGCCTCTCCGCCCTACGGCGCGGAATCCCGCCCGCTCCGGCGGCGCGATGCGGGGCGGGGATGGGCGGACATGGAGCTTGGCGGGCTCCGGCGCTCCGGCGGGACTTGCTGGCCTGCTGAGCGCAGGAGCACCCGTAGTTCGCCTGCGTGAGCGCTGCAAACGGGCCGGGACGCGGGACCGGAGCGGACCAGACCGGGGCCGAGGCCGGGAGCCGAGGCGGGAGCGGACAGCCGGAGCGCTCCCGGACAGCGCGGTTCCCGTGTTGTGCCGCGCGGGCGGCCGGACCCTGGCGGGGCCTCCGCCCGCCCGCGGCTTCGCGGAGAGTCGGGGGGTGCGGGCGAAAGGGCTCCCGGTATCCCCCTTCGCTCTCCGCTTCCCCGCGTCCCGTGGCAAGGGACCCCCAAGCGTGGGGCTGCCTATCCTCCCTTCCTGCCCCGTGGAGAGCGTCTGCGTGGTGGCTTTTTTCCTTGCTTTTGGCGCTAGGAGAGGTTGGCAGCAGAGTACGTGGGGGCTCCACGTGAGAAGGGGAAGCTGTGAGGGGGGGGGGAAATGGGGTTACAAAATTGCTTTCACATGGTCTTGCTCTGGTGACTTTTAAAATTTGTTTAAACTGTATTGCTGCTCCCGCCAGCGTAGTGTGGGTACAGAAAAGGTGCAGCCCTGGGGGACGTGTGGGGTCAGCTCTCATTCCAGTGTCCGATGGACTGCCGAGGGAAGTGGTGGAGATGTTTAAGGAAAAGACTGGATGTGGCACGTTGTGCTATGGTCTAGTTGACATGGTGGTGTTCAGGCATAGGTTGGTCTCCATGATCTCAGAGGTCTTTCCCAACCTGACTGATTCTGTGATTCCCTGTCCCAGGTGTTTATGGAGCTTTGTTAGGCAGGAGAGTTGCAGGAGTTGCATTTTCAGGAGGAAGATGTGGGGGGCAGCGAGCATGGTGCTCTCTGAAGCCCTAGGGCCTGTGGCATGGGCCGGGAGCACATGAGCACAGGTCTCCAAGGCCTCGGCTGGCGTCCTGGTTGTGAGCCTTGCTCGCACCAGTGGCACTGAGGACTGTTCTCTTTCAGCTTGTGATCCTGAGTGTTTGCTTCCATGCAGTCAGAAGGGTTTGTGCCCCACTGGCCTATGTGGGATTAGGCAGAGTAGAGGAGCTTCTGTGGTGGGATCAGAGCAAGTGCTGCCTCGAGTGCTGCACTCTGCTTGTCATTGACACGTGTGTGATGGTTGGTTGCAAAATCTGGAGTGCAGAGTTTGTTCCCTGTCGCTAAATCTGTTTTACCTTATCAAGTAGTGTTCACAGAAATAATTGAAACAAAAATAAATTGTAACTTTTTTGAAGATCCCTGGTCTTTTTTATGAATCCCCGGTGTTTTTTATGGGCCCTTGGTGAATGTGTAGTTTAGCATACACTCAGTTTCCACATTAGTAAGAAAATCCTCTTGTTTGTAAATTTAACTTGTGATTATTTTTTTTCCCATGATAATTTTTGGAGTTGCTATACACCTTAACAAATTTTGATACCCAAAGGGCTCTTCTAGGCACCATCTAGAAGAGCTAGTAATATCCAGGATGGTATGTTATTGTTTAAAATAGTGCCAAAATGCGGAGTTATTTTGTTAGAATTGGTGGGTCATCATTACATGTGTTATAAAATATTTAATGTGTCTTGCATCATTTGTTTTCCTTGTTTTCATTAAGGCTTTCTTTTGTGCATTGATTTTTACTATTTGCTTTGTGAGACTGGAACATGAATTTATTTATTTATGATCAACCCAGTTTGTCTTTAGGCAAGATCATCAGATGAAGTAAGAAGATGATACGTAACAAAGTTTTTGTTTTATCACCAGGGTTGTAGTGGCACTTGGCTGATATAGCTGCTGTAGAAAGCAGTTCCATTTCCCTTTTCTTGTACTCTGCTCAGCTATGTGTTTGGCTTTGTCATGAGCTGTATTAAGGACTTAATGAAACAAGGAAGGACAGATTTTTTAGCCAGATGATCTGCTTGATCTCCATCTCTACCACATCTGCGTATGGGATATGAGAGGACTGCTTTTGTACTTACGGTAGTGCTGGATCACAGCAGCTGTAGGTGTTTGTCACAGTCCACATTTGTTATTCAGTGTCTGAACTTACGTGTTTCATATTTCTTAGTTGATAAACTGTGCTCCGTAATCAGGGATCTGTTTTTTGTTAAGTCAGATACTTAGGGGTAAGATCAGGCATCCTGTTTTACAGCAAAGCTTGTGCCTAATGGACAGATCAGTGCATGTCGGATGTTTTCTTATCAATGTCCTCAGGCAGATATGTTCCAGTGCTTCATTGTCTTTACTCTTGGAAGGATCTTCCCAAATTCTCATCCAGAGTACTGCTGTGATTTGAACCTCATTCAGTCATCTCCTCCATAATAAATGTTGAAAACAGATTATTATCTTTCTTTATCACAGCAACCTTTAGCATATGTAGCTGGTCTCTCCCAGCCTTTCCTTGCAGGCCGTGTTTTTTCTGCTTCTCATTTTTGTCACTTTCCTGTAGGTAATATTACTGGTGTTTGCAGGTGCCACCGACTCATGTGTAACATCTCAGGTGCTTTTTGTGCCTCAGGACCATACAGTGAAATGGTTACACATAATCATATTCTCCTGGAGCAAACCCCTTGTTTTTTCCAATGTTTCTTATGTCCTTTCTATTCAAATGGAAAGATGGAAATGAGTGGGGTAATGTCCCACTAAAACCATATGCTAGTGTCATGTTGGGTTTTCCTTTCCTCCATTTTTTTGGTGATAATTAATGGTAATCTATTCATTTACCCACTCAGTTGAAATCTAAGCCACTATAAAATTTTGCCTCTGTGTTCTTTTGCCAGTATCATTCAGAGATTGCAGCATGTCATTTCTAGTATTGGGGCTACATGAGAAACATCCCCGGTGTTTACATCTCATTTGAGTTTGAAAGTCTTTTTAGTGCATTGTTTTTTCTTTTTTTCAGGTATTACTTATTAACTTGTTTCTTGGTGGTTTGTTCTTTCATATGTTCAATTTACAGTCTTTTGATTTAGAGAAGACATCTACTGAAGAAAACTGTTGAGATACTTGTAAAGCAGAGAGGTAACAGAAATGGAATTGATGCTCGGTGCTTGTCCTGGCCCTGGGTCAGTGTTACTAGTGAAACATCATTTTTATGTGAATTAGGCAGAAAAATATTTTAAGAATAGAGAGAATAATATTGTAAGAGGAATATTGTTATGAGAGTGCAGGGTTGAACAGTAAAGATTTAGATGAAAGACAAAATATGAAGCAGGGGAATTTGATTACTGAAATTTGCCTAACAGAGCCCATTCCTTTGCCACTGAACTCTGAGAAAGCTGCTTTTATAGCAGGAAAGTCTTATTTTTTTTTTCTGTTCATGAACAGTACGTACAAGCTGAATTTGTGTGTGAACTTCTGTCCTATCCACACAACTACTCTGAGTGTTTCACTGTTGGTTTCCACAGTAAAGTTGGTAGTACATGCCATTCTGTCTTCTCCTGCTGTCTCTAGAATTTTCTTCATAATTCTCACCGTCTGCATTAGAATTTGTGTTATGCTGCCCTTTTTTCCTTGTTTCCCACCTTTCTTTCTTCAAAACATTTGTTGATGATTCTGAGGCCTGACCTTTATATTTTCAATTTAGGAAATAACATCATTGCTCTCCCTTTGTGGTGGAAAATTCAGTGGTGAGCAGGAAATTCGTGTAAATGTAAGTGAGGACCAAATATTTTCCTTGAGTGTGTGTATGGGATGCAAGTACGTTCCTTATAGTATTTTTGTTAAATGTGGGTAGCTGAATAAATTTTGAAGTTTCTTAGAAAAATCAAGAATCTTCCAAAAATGAGGAACTCTCAATTTCAGTGAAGACTCAGAACTTAAAAAAAAAGATGCACAAAATGCACCTCAGGCTGTCTTCATTTAAGACTGTGAAAAGAAGTAGTGCCATCTGCTGGGAGGCTCTCCTTTCTTCTCAGAATAGGCGAACTGTGAAAACATTCAGCAGCACTTTGGATTTGGTGTTTGCATCTAAATCACTGAGACAGAATATGGCTAGGAAGCTGTATGATTTTGGTCTCAATGCTTAGTCAGAGAATATTACTGGGAATAAGTTACTGCTTTTGTGTAACGAGATGTTTTCCGTCTTTAGGGGCTGAATAATCTACAGAAGTGCAAACAAATAATATTTTGCTAAGTCAAAGATACAGTGGAAAAATGAAATACATAACAAAATTTCTCAGACATTCAAACCAAGTAAACAGTTTTGCCTGAAATTAAATATTTATCTTCTGTATGATTACAGTCAACAGATTTATTTTTTTTTTATTTATTTTCAGCATGTGTGTTCTGTTTTTATAGAACAGAATTGTGTAGTTGTGTAATTCATCTGACATCCTCCAACGAGGTATTTGTATGATTTATCTTCTCTTTATTTCAGTCTCCATTTTGGATTCTCAATATTCCTTCAGAAGAGATGGCAAGGGGACTAATGAAACGGACAGTATGTGCAAAGTAAGAGATGGAAAATCTTGTAAACGATAACTGAAGTGGTGGAATATTGTTTTGTTATGTTGTGGCAAATACAGATTTTTTTATGGAGTCTTCAAATAAACAGTCTTTGATTTCTTCTAGAATTGAGAAGATGTAACTGGATGTTATAGGACTCCTGTAGGACTGATTATGTAGAGTTCACGTTCTCTTTACTTGGTGTATGATCAAGTCAGGATAGTGTTCTTCACTCCAGAGACAGTACTCACTGATGTTTTATTGACCTTGAATAAAGTTTAGTTAGTGAGTTGTTTTAAAACATGTCTGGAACTAAAAGATAAAAACAATGATAAGTAAAAATTGAAAATCAAGTTTTGAAGGGAAAGATTGTGTTACCCTCCCTTAGTGCTGGCATCTGAACCCTCAGCCCAATCTGCTGCAGCAGAGGTCCTCCTAGAAAATTCAAGAGCACAAAATATACCAGAGAGTGATTGTTCCATCTGGTCCTTTTTAGAGGTGTCTGAATAATATTCTTTGCAGTGAGGCTTGTGAGAGAGGCTGTGGAGGTATGGTTCAGGATGAGAGCCGGTGTAAGTGTGGTATGTCTCTCTGACCATACTAAATTTGTGGTGTCTGTGCTGTGTTCTTCAGAGTTAGTTTGGGCCCTTCTGCCGAGCGTTGCGTAGTCCCTGTTGAGTCCTTATTGTGTCAGGTATTCAGTTTTACCTCCAGTGACTAGGGCTCTCTAGTATTGCCTAAAGGAGTCCCATGTGTACAAAACTGTCCTTATGACAGTATGTTTCCAGTGGAGATCAATTGTACTGCACTTCAGAAAGCAGCCATAGGCAACCAATGAAGTAAAATATGACAAAGCAGCTTGTAGATGTTCTGTATACCATGATCTCTCAGCTAATGTATCCTTATTTTATGTAGAAAGTGTAGCTAGCCCACAGCTTATTTTTCTGGCCTACTACTCGTTATGGGAAGACATGTTAGTTTTAGAAGAAAATTTCCAGTGCATCTCCATTGCACTCCTCATCAGTAACAAAAGCTCTAAAGCTTTTGGTATATGTTACCAAATAAAAAAAAAAAGCATTGTTAAAATGTCATCTTAGGATTAAAAATTAGTGTGTCCTTCTTAAGAACAAAAATTAAAACATTTGCTAAGAGTTAAATACCACACTTTAGTACTCCATGAAGTAAAGCCTAAATAAATTGGCCAAGAAGGTTAAAAGGAGTAAGTGTCTGTAAGGCATTTTGCCCCCTCCATGTGACTGCACTCTCAAAAACTGTGTAATTCCAGGTCTATATTTGAACTGTGGGGTCATGGAAGATCTGAAGGGGAGCTCTATGCCTCTCTGAAGAACTATCCAGTGGACAAGATGGTATGCATATAAAGAATCTGGATAATATGGTTCCTCTATGCACTGAATAGCACTGCATCTGTACTAATGAAACAGTCTTTGCCTTTTTTTTTTTTTTCAGCTTCCATATCTACAGTCAGACTCTACTTACAAAGTACATATTCATACGTTTAATAAAACACTGACTCAAGCACAGAAAATAAAAAAGATCGATGTAAGTAGGTGGTTAAGAAATCTTTGATGTTTAGTTTAATCATTTATGTTGTTCTTATTCCATGCTATCAGAGTTTTTAAGTTTGGGGTTCCTGAAGATCTGAAAGAAGTTTATTGCTTATTTCTTATCAGGTCTAAATGAGATCTTTGCGTCCGAATTAAAATTCCCTCAAAATTCACGACTTTTTTTTTTGTTTCCCTAAACAGCCCGTGTGAGGCATATACAAAGCCAAATAAACATCACCTCTGATTTTGGCCCAGTGTGCTGGGGAAACTGAAGCTTATTGTCCAAAATGCTAAGATTCAAGTGGCTAGAGTTAGGTGCTAGACTTTTGGGAAATCTCTTACTTGATCTGCACATTAGGCTTTTATTGTTGCAGAATGTGGAACAAGTGACTTCAGTTGTAAGCTGTGGATTGCGTGCTTATCTCCTGTTCTGTTGTTATGCTCTTTTCTGCACTTGTACTCTCCTCCAAACTGTATCAGTATTATAATTAGGAAATTTTTCTAAATTACCGTTGATTTTTTTGTTCTTCCACATTCTATTTTATCAGCTTTTTCTTTTATTTACACCATTTACAGAGCCTGAAATTATCTGTATTAGTAGTAGCCACTCTTTCCTGTTTGTTCAGTTTTTGTGTACATGAAATAATGCTGAGTATGTAAATTGGTGTAGCTGCACATCACTGAAACTTTATATCCTATTGTTCATCATCAGTGTTGTTTTTATAACTTGAAAATTGCATAAATAATATGCACCATTTATTTCCTCTAAAGTTGGGTTCTCTTCAGTTAATAAAAAGTGTTATGGTTCCTGATTTCTAATTCGTAATCATTTGAGGTATTTTTATTTACAAGAAAGGTATTTCAAAAATCTAGATAAAATTGAGAATGTACTTTTTAATACTTATCTATCATTTCTCCTAGTAAAATTGTGGTGGGTTTTTTGGGGGGCAAGAGTTTGTTTTGATTTTTTTTCTATTTAAAAAATTGACCCTGGTTTGACATTTTTTTTACTCTGTTTTTTCTTTATTGTATAGGCCCTTGAGTTTCTGCCATTCAAAGGAAAAGTAAATTTAAAGAATCCAGAACACATCTTCTGGATTTTGGAAGATTATGGAATGAACCCAAATAATGTTCCAGAAGAGCCCTTTCATCTGTATTTTGGTAGATGGGTGCGTGAATATGCTTGCTTCAGTTCTTATAAGCTTGTATTTTCAGGAAAGTGTTCTTCAATTGAAATGTAAAAAATTGTATTGACTTTCAATGGAAGCAGACAATATAATTATGTCTGAATCTGTCGCTGCAAATCTGGGAAACTTTACTGTGACTAGGAAAAAGTGGGTTTATTGAGCAATTTGGAGGTGGAAAAAATGAAGTTGTATCTGGAAACACACCTTCTTGCCCTCCACCGAGAGAACTCAGCACAGCTGTGAGACTGTGCAGCTGTGGTGGTGTATTATGTTATTGTGGGACCAGCTGCAGCTGAAAGCACCAGCAGAGTGTTTCAGACATGTAGAAAGATATACAGAACTATAGGTGGCTTGTGGCCCTGCTGAGTTGCGTCAGGCCCACTAGAGCATTCTCTAAGTGCTTCAAGAGGTCCTGACAGGAACCTCCACAGAAAGGTGCAGACTGATCCCTGAGGCTTTGGACATCAGCAGGTTCAGTGCACAGGCCCCGAGGAGACACTGGCAGTGCAGGGCCTACAGCAGGAACCAGTTATAAAAACTGTCTGGAGCCTGTCAGCTGAGGTCTTCACTACAAACCTTCTTGCCTGTTGGCCGTATGCACTCTAAAGCCGCCGCATTATTAGGATATCCTGAGGAAATTTGATCTGGTCTTTTATATTTTTGTGAGGAAAATGTGGCTCCCCAAAGGACATCTTCTGGAATGACACTAGCCACTGATGGGAATATGTGCTAGCAGTGTCCTGGGTAAAGGGCAGCTGGAAGGAGGGAGAACCACTGCAGAGGCTGTACAGCTATAGTCAGTGGCTTGTGTACAGGGAAGTCAGACATCCAAGTGATCTGTTAGGACCTGTGAGTGTTCTCTCTGCATGTGATTAATGTGTAAGCACTCTGGGTTGTGACAATACTGTAAAACATTGCAGCTGTTGGTCCATCTGTGCTGGATTTCTGAAGTATTGAGTAAACTAACCTGAAAAAAATAGGCAAATGTATTTTGTTTACCCAGTAAGACTGATGTTGACCAGAGATGGGGGGGATAGTGTTGGAAGAGCTTTTGACCATGTCTTCTTGCAGATTGCGTTGGTCTTCTTCAACATATTTTAGAAGTCTGATGTAAAAATACTAGCATTTGGTCTTTGTTTGCTTTTCCATTAAATTCTGATCTGTCAGCGCTATCCTAAATTTAGATTTTGAGCATGGCAGAAGTGCCAGTGAAGAAGGAAGTTCTGTATGACCTTAAGCATACGTGTGTGTATGTGCAATGCATGTGTTAACATGCATCTCTCCTCTTCTTAATTTTGAAATTCTTTTAGCTCTGAATTGCCAGGAATTGTTTTTCTGATAGAATAATAGCAAAGTTGCTATAATAGTTATTTCTTCAGAAGAATTTTCTGTCTAAAATGTTTGTATATTTTTAACCTCTGTCTTGAAGAATTTATCTAGGTGTTGAACCAAGATATATGTTGCTTGGAAAGAAGTCTGTCATATTTTCAGACGTCAGAAAGCAAGGTGATGTGTTATGAAATGAAGTTACCTGGTTTTGGATGGTGTCACTTAAGCACATGTTAGCCTGCCTGCCTATATCTTGTATTTAAGACCTGACAGGGATTTTAAATGTTTCAACAGATTGCAGATGGCCAAAGAGAACTCATTGAATCCTACAGTGTAAAGAAGAGGCACTTCATTGGAAATACAAGCATGGATGCCTGCCTGTCTTTCATTATGGCCAACCATGGGAGAGTAAAACCCAATGATGTTGTATATGATCCATTTGTTGGAACAGGTATATATATTTTTTTTCCACTGGTGGGAAAAACTGGAAGATTGTCTTACTGTTTGCACCAGGTTTTACCTGGTGCAGTGGCTTCTGGTGCTCAGCTGATATTTGAGAGGATACCAAAGGCAAAATGGTGATTGTAAAATGAGTAGTCTGTTAACTTGAAAGGGATTTTGGGGGAAGGAGACCAACTTCCAAAGCTTTAAACAATTTATTTCACGCTTCTAAAAAATCTGTCTTCATGGTTTTATTTTATGCACCATGGGTTAAACACTACTTCATATGTGTTATGGACTGCCTAAGATCCAAAGTGACCAAGAGGTGAAATTTGGCTGATGCACTTCTCGCAGTCACTTTCAGGGGATTACAAGGAGTAGCATTTTAGAGGTGGCTATTTAGAGCGCTGAGGGCACGTCCAGGCTTTTAACACAGCGTAACAATAGTTAGGTCATAGCATTCAGTAGAGATCAGTTTGTTGTGCCTTCACATCCTGTCTTCAGGATAATACTGCTCACACCACATATCCGCCCCCAGCTGAACTTTTCCTAGTTTATCCAGGAGGGGGAGCTTTTATTCCACATATGACATAAAAGTACATTTTGACTCAGGGAAACTGAGCTGTTGTGTAGGTGAAATAGCTGATTTGTTGTGTTAGGTTGTGCCATATAATCATAGCAGAGTATATTGTATTAAGCTACCTATAGTAGTTTCTTCAAAAACGTAACAAAGGCTTTGTTTTTGACCTGGATTTTAGAATCATAGAGTAGAATCATAGAACATCCTGGGTTGGAAGGGACCCACAAGGATCATCAAAGTCCGACTCCTGAACCTGCACAGGACAACCACAAGTGTCACACCATGTGCCTGAGAGCACTGTCCAAACACTTTGTGAACTCTGTCAGGCTTGGTGCTGTGACCACTTCCCTGGGGAGCCCGTTCCAGTGCTCAGCCACCCCCTCGGTGAAGAGCCTTTTCCTGATATCTAAATTAAACCTCCTCTGACTCAGCTTCAAACCATTTCCTCCAGTGCTGTCACTTGTCACCAGAGAGAAGGGATCAGTGTCTACCCCTCCACATCCACAGCAGTTTCAGACTGCAGCGAGGCCTCCCCTCAGTCTCCTGTTCTCCAGGCTGAACAGACCAAATGCCCTCAGCCGCTCCTCATACGGCTTCCTCTCAAGGCCCTTCAACATCTTTGTTGCTCTCCTTTGAGTGCTCTCTAATGGCTTAATATCTTTCTTATATTGTGACATCCAAAACTGCACACAATATTCCAGGTGAGGCCGCACCAGTGCAGAGCAGAGCGGGACAATCCCCTCCCTCAACCAGCTGGCGATGCTTTGCCTGATACCCCCCTGGGATACCTTTGGCCCTCCTGGCCAACTTGCTAGACTTTGATTAAGATGACCACGTGTGAAATGCGTACAATTAAAAATGCTTACATTAATGGAAGGATGAGGATAGTTTTCTGCAGAAATGACTGCAGAGAAGTTAGGGAGAGAGAAGACAACACTACAGGGTCACCAGTAGGATAAATTCTTAATAGCCTGTATCTTCTCTGTACCACGGGAAATAAACCAGGGATATAATATTTACAGAAACACAAGGCTTCAGTGAACTCTTATGTTTTTGTCTTAAATTTTTGTTCATATATGATCTGGGTTTTTTTCATGCATAATAATGTCTTACAAAATTTTCTCCTCATCCTTGTGCTTGTCCTTCTTTGAAAGGTTCAGGAAATTCCTCTACTTATCTGTGAGCAGTTTGTTTGATTTTGGTATCTATGGCTTTGCATCTTCTTACAAAAATCTGCTAAAAAAAAAGAAAATCTCTGAGAGCATTCATTCTCATGGGAGTGAAAAGGAAGGTAAAGACAGAGGAAGAAATATCACATAGAAATGGCAAAGCTATAGAAATTCTATATAAACGTTAAATCATTTTTCAGTTTGATAGGTAGCAAATACAAGTATATAAAATTCTCAACAAATTACCTAGTGGTTTCAATTACGTTTTTTGGGGATTTTTTGCCCTGGATATCTGTAATATAAAGGCTAGAGATTAAAGCTGCGTGAGTCTGCTGATCGGTTTAGAAAGAACACACATACAGGATTTGATGAGCATTTTGAAACTGTGGTTCAGATTTCTTTATTGATGCAGCTTTATTACCTGGCTTGGTTTCTTCCTGGTTTTTTTACACTGAAAATGTAAATAGTGCCAAATCAGAATGGCCTTGCAAAATAGTGCTTGCTTGTTGGAAAGAAACTGGTTTTTGCATAAGCCAAATCACAAGTCTTCCACATTAGTGTAACAGTGGCAAATTGGCATTTGTCATTGGAATATGAAGTGCTCTTTGACCAGGCTGGCTTTTAGGAGACTTGATTCCCCTTCTTATTGTAGAGCAGAATTGGAACATCCGGGATTGTTTTTAAGTTCCATAAATGTTTAGATATTCTTTCCTCAGTGTTGGGCAGAAAGAAGCTTGGAGCTTTCTGGAAGAATAAATCAAGTCTTCTAATTTAATATTTTGTGCTTCCTCCTAGACAGTCTGTTCAGGTTATCTCAGTAGTCTTGTTGATTATACCATTCGAAGTTATTTGTCCTTACTTTCTCTTTGCCAGTTTGTGATACTGTGTAGTCGCAAATGACAAGAATTTTTTTCTTTGACATTCTGGGGGACAGTGCTATGACCAGTCCTCGTGTGTGCTGGAGAGATGGGGGAATAAGCATACGATAGAAAGGCATGAAGTTCTGTGCCACTGGCATTCTGCTAATAGTCATCAGGGGACACAGTGATTCCCTGATTAACCCTCTTAGCATGTTTCATATAGTAGATCAAAGAGCTGGCCCTATTACTGTATTTAAGTATTCATGCACCTTCTGTGTGAACACAATTGAACTAGTACCAGCTGAGATTTATTGAAAACTTGAAGTTCATGTTTTCCTAACTTTTTTTTGCTTATGATTAAAAGCATTCTTAGATGGGCAAAGTACTTTCTTCTTACTTTTTTTATAGGACTGGGTGGTATGCCTTACTTGGGGTCAGGGCTAGCTAAATTTGTCATGACCCTCTGGAGGTACTGCCCATCTCTTCTCAGGGATTGCAACCAAGAAGGGCAATGGGTGACTCCTCTGGGGTGAGTAGCCTTGCTTTTCCCTGATCCACTTCCTTGATCCAGAAAAAATCAGAGGAATTTGAAAACTTTTCTTTCTCCCTCACATTTGGTTTTTGTAGAGTTGGTTACCATATGGTGTAGGAGTACTCTGAGATGGGATCCTTTAGCCCATGCACACAGGGCATGTTAGGGAGGTGTTTGTGCTGAGTGGATGGCTCAGGGTAGTTCAGCCACCTGAAGTGCTTCTCTCCATGCTCCCTGAGAATGGGAAAACTGGTGTCATCAGCACAGCCAGCTTGCACATTGTTCCCTGTGCTTGTCAACTCTTCATCCTGCAGCAATCTTCCCCTTTATTTTAGCAGGACTGTTGACACCAGTAATGTGGGGTTCACAGCCTTGTTCTCAGACACTGTTCTGTTTTAAACCATTCTGCTAGCTACATAATAACTTGACCACACAGGTATTTGGTAATCTTCTACAGTCTGTCCATTGTTTCATTTGGAAGCTGTTAAAGAGGTAATGTCATTTGTTCATTTTTGTGGTCTGTTCAACTGCTATCAAGTTTAAAGGGGAAATCACACATGCTTTTCTGTTAGTTTTTTTTTTTTTGTAAATTAGTAAAGCAGATTGCAATAGTATTAATTAAAAAAATGATTTTATTGCAGAATAAGTACACTGGTAAAACTGCTGACAAAATAGGCAGCATACTCACAGAAAAATGCATTTGTATATAGTTTTCACACAGCATAACAATTACAGGAACTGTTTTGATGTTCCCTGTTTATTGGACATATTTACATTTGCAAGGCTCTTGACCATTGTTTCTTATGCAGGGAATGGCCACATTTTACAACAAGTTTGATTTTAGACACAGTTAAGGAGATACTTTGAGAACAGACTCAGGAGAACTGCTATTTGTTTGGTGATGACTTTTCAAATTGTGTGCCAACAATATGAAATTCTGTTCCTTGCAAAGTAGTATCAAAAGTTTTGATTCATGTAATGATTAAAGAATCTTACTGCCTTGAAATACAGAAAACCATAAACAAACTCCTAAGAGCAGTCTCAAAAGATAAGGAGTGACATAAGGCATAGTAAGATAAGGAGAATCAGGTATAGCAGACAAGGGACTTGGTGTAATTATTTCTGATTATAGTTGCATAGTGATTCTAACAGGTTGGTAGTTTTGTTTCTTTTTTTAGTTTCTTTTTTTTTATGCTTGGGTCTAGCTTTGGGTCTAGTGTGCTACTGCTGTAAACTCCTGAAGTTCCTGAGGAAAAAATTCCAACACAAGTAACATTTATGACAGGAGTTTATATTTTTCCTCTTTTCTCTCCTGTGTAGGTGGCCTTCTAATCTCCTCAGCACACTTTGGAGCATATGTGTGTGGTACTGATATAGATTACAACACAATCCACGGATTAGGTATGTTACCTATTTCTAAACCACTGAAATCTTGCTCTCTGGAATTTAGGATGGTAGTGGATGATACTTAGTGGATTTTAAAGCAGTATTAATCTTATTAGGATTTATTTGGTCATGCTTATTTTTATTCACCAATTTACATGTATCCTAGATAAAATATTATCTTATTTTTAAGCAGGAAATATTTTAAAAAAGGAATAATAAAACCCAAACAAAATTCCAAATAATAATTACCACAACTGTGTGCTGTCTTAACCTGTGATGTAGGAAACTTCTTGTAACCTAACCCAGGAAGTCTAATCTTATTCTTACTTCTCTGAAAATCTGCAGTGCAAATTGTATCTGACCTAGTGGACAGGATTCTGACTGATGGTCAGAGAGAATGTCTAACAAAACAACATTTTTACAAACGTGTTCTGGGACACCCTGTGCAGATGGTGCAGCAGAACTTTTCTAGTGTATTTTCATTATTTCTTACTACTTCTGAAGTTTACTGCAAGTACTTTTGACAGGTTTTGTAGTGACATTTAATTATTTTCCTTTAAATTAAATGGTAGAGTATATGAAAAGCTTTTCTTATATAATAGTTTCTTGTTGAGTGTGCTTTTTTTCCCCCTCTCTGGGCCCTCTCCCTTCCCAGGCAAGGCAAGCAGAAAGAACCAGAAATGGAGAGGGCCAGATGAAAATATCAGAGCAAATCTCCGACAGTATGGTTTAGAGAAATACTACCTCGATGCACTGGTTGCTGATTCTTCCAGGCCAATATGGCGAAAAGGGATGCTGTTCGATGCAATCATTACAGACCGTAAGTTTGTTACTGCTTTTTGTTGCCTGATAGCAGTGACTGAAAGATTATTGCCTGTGTCTGTGCCTATGTGTGTTGATCTAATGTCTGGATGAGTGCTCAGATCTGCAGTTTATCAAAGATGGTTATTGAGAGCAGCACTGTGGAAATTGGATCCGCATTTGACATCTCTGCATTTATTTTAAGGGTAGTTATAAATGTGTAACAAAACTGGCAGTAACTCTTTCTTCCGTGGAAAGAATATTATGTTCACCAGCAGAAATCAATATGGCTGGAAATCATCCTTTGAAGAAGTCTCATTCAGTAAAAGCGTAACTTTATTGATGCACAGACTTCTTATCAGAATGGTACATGTTGCTGTTAGAACTTGATCTGCAGGACATTGGAGTCTGCCATGCAGCCTTGATGGACTTCTGAAGATTTATGTTAAATGCTTATTGTAATGCTTCCAAAGAGAAGTTTTAATGTGTTTCCAACACACTTAACCACTAGAAGCATTAGCATTTTGGAAGGATCCTTTGCTCTTTTAGCAACCTATGTACTAAACACCATTTGTCATGTATGAGAGGGAATAGAAACTAAGGGAATAAATGAAAGACCTTGATACAGCAATTTCTGATCTCTAGTGCTGACTCTTATGATGAGACATTCATATTAATTAGGAATAGGGAGTGTGACTTTTCTTCGTAGTTTGCTTGCTAGTTTTTATTTGGTCCATTTGGCAATAAAACAGTGTAGAATATTAATATGGACTCAGAACTGAGTGTGACACAATTTGTAAGACTTCTGCGGTGGTTATATTGGTGCTTCCATGATGCTGAAACAAGTCTCACAAAACCAGAGGTTTTGAACATGAAATAAGTATGTTATGTTATCAGAAATGTGCAAAAATGTGTGAGAAAAAGCCATCTCTGGTTCTTATGTGAGAGAATTACCATTTGTGTCATGTACTGGCAAGAAATTCCAATGTATTTAATTTCATTTTGAAAAAGGTTAACTAAGTGCTATAGGGGACATATTCATGTCTGGCAAACAAAAGAGGATGGTATTATTTGTCACATGTTTCAAGTCTGAGGAATATCTTTTAATCAACAAAGCAGAAAAGCATTGTTCTTTGTAGTGTAGCAAACTTCTAGGCTATTAGAAGCTCTTAGAAAGCTGAAGGACTTTCTTTGAATCAGTTCTAAAGTAACCTTTTGGAGTAATAAACTTTTAATAGATCTTGAAGAAATTTCCCTTGCTTAGCTTTTCTTTTTTTAACTTTGTATAAGCCACAGTTTATGCACTGTCGTGTATGTATGGTATAATTGTGTGTTATTTGGACAAGGAATGAGGTTCTCATCTCTGCATTATGCATTTGCTTTGTCTAGCACCATATGGTATCAGAGAAGCTACTCGCAGAACAGGTTCACAAAAGGAAGCAGTTAAGTCAGTTGAAAGAAGGTAGGTGAGCTGTCTCATCTGTTGTAGAATATAAATGTCTTAATGGAAATCTAGTCATAGTTTTAGAATCTTTGCTATTTCTTGGTCGACTATCAACAGTTAAAAAAATGATGGCAATATAAATTAAAGAAGAAAAACCCTTTTTACTCTGTTTGCAAAACCAGTATGTCATTTCCTGAAATCATTTTGGTTTTGTTCTCCCTGCTTATCATTTGTGTGTGTTCAGATTTCGAATCCTATCTGTCACCTCTGTGAGCCATCATTACCTTTTATTTCCTATTCTCAGAAAGTTCTCTTCAGTCTCTGTAGGCTGCAAAATCAGTCTAAAATAGAATACCCATACTTTACCCCAACCTCTGCTCTTTTGGATTTCCACTGCTCTTTTCAGAAATAGGTCATGGCTTCTCCACTGCCTGGCCTTCATTTTCTTCTGCGTTTTGCTCTAAATTGTTAAGAAAGCTGTTAAGAAACAACTATTCCCAGTATAGCTGTGATTCTTTGACTTCAAATACTAAAGATGATAGTCTGAAAAGCCAGTTATGGGAACTTGCAAAGTCATATTCCTCATATTAGAAGTTGTATTTCTGGATTGTCACAATTAGTTTTGCAAGTGTCAGATAGTGCTTTTGTGGTCTGTTTTTGGTTTGGGGGTTTTTTTTAGTTATTATTTTAAGAAATGTAGGTTTTACCCGTGCTTTTATGTTTGTTTACACTTGTACATTTTTTGTTTAGCACAGAAAATCACATCTTCGTTTCATCCAATTATCATCTAAGTGACATCTTTTTTGACCTGTTGAAGTTTGCGGCAGAATATCTGGTGATGGGAGGAAGATTAGTTTACTGGCTGCCAATATACAGGCCTGAGTATGTATTGTTGATTTCTGTTATGTTGTAAGTCAGAATGGCTGCTGCACTCTCACTGTGTTTCTTTTGGGGCACAGTACAGCTGGAGCTTCCATAGCACCAGCTCTCAAGAGTAGTGCCCAGACTTCGTATTTTAAAAGTTTGTGTGAGGAAAACCAGATTTTGAAATAAGGTTTTTGAATGGCGATAATTCCTGACTATTACCAAACAGAAAAAGCCTTAGTGTGTCATTGCAAATGTACATCCAGTGAGTTGAGGTTTAAGCTTAGGAAATTAAACTTTCAAGGTACGTATTAGAATGTGCTTCTCTAGAGTAATTGATAAAGATGTGTGACAAGGTCCTATGAAAAGCATTCTTGGTTCTTTGAAGTTTGGCACTACTAATTTAGCTTTCTTCGGAGAAATAAAAGTCACAAATGACCAAGAGATGGTAGTGAGAGGCAAGAATCATAAGGGAGCAGCCCTGTTAAGGACGAGAGGGGCCAGCAGAGACTGCAGGATCCTGTCTGCTCAGTAGTACAGCCTGGGTTCAGAACTGAGTTTAAAAGGAAAGACAGCTGTTTGCATACCTTACTTAAGCATCTCTTAGATAAGGTTTGATGGTATTTTTGTTTTGGCTTGTTTTTTTTTTAAACTGTTTCGCTGTAAAGTGAAGAGTTCTGTAGGTTTTTCAAAGTATCTTCCAGATACAGATGTGCTCTGAAGGTAGTTTTTACAATGTCAGATGTTTCTATGTACAGTCAAAATATTACTGATGAATAAAGTGGTGGTTGTCCCTGGTTTCATCATGGAAATGGCTTGTGCCAGTCCTGTATATCCTATATAACACACGCTTTGAAAATTTGGAAATCAAATGGAGCCATTTCTTTTTACATGCTGCTGTAACGGAAGAGTGCACTTAGCAGTTTGCATTTTTTTAATAAATGATAGAATTGGTATCTTTAGGCTTTTTTTTTATTGTGAGATAATTAAAAAAACAAAGCAATGAATGCCATTAACAGTATTATAGCTTGTTGTTCAAAATGTCTGTCTATACATGCTTAGCCCCAACAGACTGTGTGTGATTGTGAATTCTAAGATTTTAATGTCAATAAAAACGGTTTGGATTTACTGAATTTATTCTGTTCATCAAGATACTAGAGTTTTTCTGTCTGCTCATTGAACTTTGATAAAAAACATGTTTCCTCACTTCAGATAACTTGGGAACTGCACATTCAGGATCTACTTTGGTTGCTGTTTTGGGGAGGTCTAGTTAAGATGCCTCATAAAAAGTGAATCTGTACATCCTACTGTGAATTGAAATACTGAAGTCACTATATTAGCACGGAATATTAGTACAGTCAGTTTATTTTCAGTTGTAATGCTGAACAAGGGAACAGACATTAAAACAAGTATGTAGGGGGAAGGGAAGATAGTTTCTACTAACATATTGCATTGTCAAATATCCCTTGGCAACACCTGCCTTCAATTTCATTTCTTGAGATCCTTCTGTTTTACCTTAAATTAAAGCCAAAACTGGATTGAATTGGGTGTCTGTTAAAACCACTGCTTCTGTATTCCTTACTTGATAAGGTTCTGAGTTTTACCTGAAAGAATGTAGAAATACATGCATTAATGCTAACAGACAAGGCTTTTTAACAAACTGATAATGATCTCTCCTTCTGCAAGATAGCATCTCACTCCGAAGTTTACTCTTTCAGTCTGACATTGAAGTCATTGTTGAGTCAGAATTCTTTTAATTCCTTTGCAGTCAGTCTTTTATAATGTTATGTATTTATAAACTTTATGTATAAACTTTATTACATATATTTTCTATATGTATTATTGTATATATAAAAATTTAAGATGATGTGGTGGAGTGCCTACCTTTGTAGGAGAAAGAGTGAGTTTGGTGCTACTAGATGCATCGAAAGTCTTGTATAATAGAAAGAGCAGTTGAGAAATAATTTTATTCTCCTTTGTCAAAAGCATGTTTTGACGTCAGCTAGCAGAAGTAGCAAGTTGATTCCACATGAGAAGTGACTGAAAGGTTGTTTTGCAGTCTGGAAGTTTTGAGGCAAACAAAGAGGCAGTACTGTTTGGGGTTCTTTTTTTCTTATTTACAAATCTGTGTTTGGTATTGAGTTACTTGTTTAACAGCTCACTGTTATCTTAAGAAATACCAAGTTTTCCATCAGCACCTAGAGGGATCCTATTTTGAGTTGTGTTACATTTGTCTTCTCTTTCTCCCAGAACAATACCTTTACTTTGTAAAGTGCGTTCATAAAATCCACCTCTTCACAAGAAAAATTCAAAGCTCCTCTTTCATACCTTATAAGTTGAAGTGATAGGTGTTTCAGTTGTTTAGTTCTGCATTTTAATGTCTGACTCCTGTTGACTCCCAAGCATTGGAGAATCATGAGAGCAGACATTTTGTACAAAGTCATAGTCCCTGACAATACCAAAACCCATTTTCTGTGTTATGTGGAAGTAACTATTACATGACAGCTTATTACAAAAACTAAGACTAAATGACTGATGTATGTTTCAGTATATGGGAAGGGAGTCTGATCTCATGTTTATTATATTAGCTAGGTCAATACTTCTTGCTGCTCTAGTCCCATGCAAAGGTGTCTCAGTTTTACTTGACTCCATGCCAAGTCCGCAGACCCAGCACAAAAACCTCTGGCAAAGAGCAAAGAAAAAAAAACTATGAAAAATCCAGACCAGCCGAACTATATTAAAATAAATGTATTTACGTACATTACAGTCAAATACAGTTGAAATACTATATACAATCCCAAAAGGGAAAGGAAGGGGAAGGGGAAAAAAAAAACCAACAACAACAGAAAACCAAAACAGATATACACAATCAAAAAAAACCCTCAGGATCTAGCAAACTAAAGAATTAGCAAAAGAATACCTTACTACTTTCCTTGGGATAGCACAATCGCCCAAACACCGCCAACCACACTATCGGACTCCAGATCAGCAGGAACAACAGGCCCCGTAGGCCCAGCCAGGCCCCAGCTCCCCCACAGAAACGAGACCGACTGTGGGGAATCTGATGTCTCCAAACCTCACCAGAAGGGAAGAGAGGAAGAGGCTTCTCTCTCTGTCTATTTATATGTTTGGATTACGTAAAGGAATAGGATGGAATACTTCCTTCCTTCCTTCCTGGCGACCAGGAAGGAAGGCCTAAACTCAAAACCATTACAAAAGGTCTTAAATCTTTAAATTCCTCTTTCAGCAATAGAAATAGAAAGATTGAAAGCAATCTAGAGAAAGCACTTTCTACAGAAAATAGTATGCATATGAGATGAGGCATTTAAAACACTTTAACTGCTTGCTTCTATAGATAGGATTTAATTGTAAGCCAGTGTTGCTGCTATCTAATGCTAAATGATAATGGATTTTTTTTCTTGCCATTAGAAAAAGTAATTATGATGAGATAGGTTTGTAACACCAAATGTTGAAGTCCAGGAATGTCACTGTCTATTAAGATCTGGCTTAATAAGATTTGAAATTGAAGCATAATGGTCTCTTTTTAGGGAGCCGGAGTTAAGTCTCTTATTCGTGCAACATCATATACATTGGCTGGAATATGTTTTTAAAATCACAACTCCCATTGGATAAGTTATTATTTCTGGTTGGCTGAGATATTTTCTACTTGACATTATAGAGGCAGACCTGTGTGCATACATTAATGTAATTTAAATACACATGAAAAAAGGGGGAGGGTTGTGTCTCTTTACTGTGAGCTTTTAATTTATTCTATACGCTATATGTCACAAGATGATTGAAATATATGTTGTCAAAACTCTGGAGCACCGATATCTGAATTTCTTTAATCAGATTAAAGTGCATAACAACTTTCTAGTGTAAACCTTTTTGTGAAGAGTCTGTAAGAATTTTGTTTCAGATACAAGTCTTCCACTTCATGAGCTTACAGCATTATGAATGTTAATTTCTTCCAGATATACAGAAGAAATCATTCCCCGCCACCCGTGCCTGAAACTTATTAGCAACTGTGAGCAGATGCTTTCCAGCCACACATCAAGGCGCCTGATTACCATGGAAAAGGTGAAAGAATTCAAGGTAAGCTTGAATTCTTGATTATATTGTGTAAAATAGTAGTTATAGCATTCATGACAAGTTTGTGCTATTCACCAGTTGATCCTTATTTCTATCACACTTGAGTTTTTATGATCAGATTTAGAGCTTCTGGAAAATTGGGTAGTGATATAAGGTTTCTGGTTTGGTTTTTTTCCTTTTTCTTCTCAGTTTTTGGTAAACTCTTCATCCCAAGCAAGCCCCTGAATAGTGTGAAAAAGATCTTTGAACTTATGGTTACTTGTGAATCCCATCCACAAGTTTGTGGATCCCATCAAGTTTAACTTGATGCCCAAGTATGTACTAAATGGCTTTGTGGGTCTTTCAGTACAGGTAAACCATATTCGATTCTGTTACTTCATCTTTAGAGCTCTTAGTTTTTGAGATAATATTGAAGTTGTGAAAGTACAGTGAAGCACACTGACTCTTTTTTTGTTTTGGGACACACTAAGTGGCTCTCCTGAGGCACTGGGGGGAGGAAATATTGCATTCAGGTCTCCTTTCCGTTCTCGATGCTTCTCCCACTCAATACTGTTAAAAGAGATGCTAAGCAACTGTGAGACAAATTCTTAATGAAAATGCACACAGTGAGCAAGTGCTTTTAGTACAATCCCTGTCAGTTGGAAGAGCTGTTTCAGATGGCAGGAGATACAGTCAAACTGCTGTGTCTGCATGGTGCTTGCACTAATAACACAGCAGGGTTTCAGTACTGTGCTCATAATGCTCATGATAAGTGGAGTTCTCAAGCAACACCTGAATTTTTAAAAGCACCATAGTTGGAGTCCAGTGTCGGAGCTGCCAACTTCACCAGTAGCGAACCAGGAGGGTAGATGCTGAAAATTTTTGACATGTGTGTCTCAGGGTTTTCAGGGAGGTTTTCTGCAGGAGTTTTATTAATACCAGTGCTGTAGGATAACATGTTCTAATCTAAAAAATATATCCACCATTCTGTGATTAGACTTTTGTCATTTGTTATTCTTGTTTTGTGCATCACCTGTTCTTCAGTACGTGATTTGACAGGTTCATGTCTGGAAATGCTTAGCTCTGAGCACCTGAGAATATTTGGCAGGCTTACTGCTTAGATAAAACTGTGCAAGTGCTTATATTCAGGACTCCAAATGTCTGATAATCTGAAGATACCAGAACCCATGTATGGTTTTTGATGATGTAAAACTTATCTAAAGAACAAAATGCATATTGAGTCCTTAGCCAATGCCTGCCTGGTTTAGGGTCTTGTTTGGTGTCTAAGATTTCCCCACCTCAGTATCCCTTACTTGGAACATGGCTTTTCCTTTCTTAATATCCTGAGCAACCTTTGAATTGAATATTTCTTTGACTCACCAGATGTGATCATAAAATTCAATAGATAGTGTTTTGGCTGTTTTCTTAAATGAAAGAGTGAATTTTTATGAATATGAAAACATTTATGTTTCCAGACAGTTCCTGTCTGTTTTACTAAACTGGTCTGTAACAGACCCTCACAGCTGCCTTTTAATTCAGCTTAGTGCAGCACTTGCAAGTGGCTAAGAAGTTCTACGAATCATGTAGTGTCATTATGCAGTTCTTTGGTTTCCCCAGGGTTTGCCACCAGTAAGGAATTGCAGATTTCACAGCAAATTTGATTTCACTGTTAACACTCTAAACTCTTAAATGAAGATGAATTCAGTCAGTTACTGAAATTGATGGTGCATTTTGTTTTGAATTGTAATAAAAAGGAGACCAAAATGAATGCAAAAAGTGAGTATGTCTAGGTGAAGTATTGGTCTATTGTAACTAATCATTAACATGAAGATCATATATGTTGAATTAAAAGCCTCACAAAAGGTGGTATATAACTCACTGTCTAGTGAGCATCCAGTCTGTTCTTTTTAAGTTTACAGTGAAATCATGCCAACTGGAAAAGATTTCTTACTGAACTCAGTGTTGATATGAATAGGCTTTTCCAGCATATGCACAGTATGAGCAGAGAAGTTGTTTGTTTATTAACATTTAAAACTTTTTTTTTTTTTAAATTACTGTTTCAGGCAACTTTTGCCATTGTTCCTCCCAGCACAGTGCTCACCCCAAAATTTCCATGTCACATGGTCACTCCAGAGTTGTTACTGGTGTAGAATTTTTCCTGTTGAATTTAGCAGTGTCTGTTCCTGGATATGACCCTGTTGTCCCCGTTTTGGTAACTGGTCCGTTTTGTTTATAGCTGTATAATATTAGTACAAGTGGTTTCTGTAGCTACTGTCCAGTACCAGATGTGGAGTGGTAGGAAGAGGTGATAGGGCTAGGAAGAATGTTTTTCTTTAAACAAAAACTGAATGTGGGTGATTACCCTGGAGCCAAAGTGAGACATGCTAGATTTATAAAAATCTTTAGAATATCACTTAATATTTGCCAAGATTTCAAGAAAAGCAAAACTTTCTTGTTATCATTAAGCGTCCTCCTCTCTTCCACCTCTGTCATTATTTACTGGAGATCTGTAACACCTATTTTAGTGTTGTCTTTACAACAGATAAGTGTTGAGTTGAAAACTCAAAGTAGCTAAAAGCAATTTGGTAACTTTTTGACAAGAACTTTGTTGGTTTGCAGTTGTCACAGAACTCATCATAAAACATTTCAGAGCAACATTTATGTGGTAACTGCTGCTTGCAATTAGTCTGCTGTTTTGAGAACTTATATTATTCAAAATAAGAACCAAGGGTGATGATAAAGAATGACCAGAGATTAACAAACATCTCCTGTTCTGAATTTTACAAATAAAAGAAGAAGTCTTTGTCTTCTTGGTAGTGCTGACACACTAGGGAAAGAGCTGACTTAGTGCCAAGTAGGCTGATCATTGCTGATCGGTCTTCTAAATTATTTCTTGGGAAGTCTCACTGTTTTGTGTTAAATAACCAATTATGCCTTGAAAACTACATATGGTTGTTTCAAAGGAAATGAGAGAAAAAAGTTACTCATCCCTGGATGCAGCTGTGTGTCACCAGCAGCACTGCTTATTTCTCTTCCAGCATGTCAAGAGAAGGAAAGAGACTGTCTTCCTTAAAACCCTATGGTTCAACTCCATTCCCTGAATTTAAACTTTTTTTTCTTAGGAAAAAAACAAAAAAGGAAAAGAAAGTTAAAAAACATCCATGTTAACTGCACTGGACAGTTAATGCGTTTGAGGGAGACTTGACACTGCCCCTGACACCTTCCATAAGAGAGATCTCTTACTGCAGAATGTTCCTGTCATATATTTAGTTTGCATATTCTAACAATTTATGCTACTCAAGACAGAGAGTAACTCAGGATGTTTGACTGATTTCCTTACTGAAACAAGCTGCTGCTTGATGCCCAGGCCAATTCTAGTGCAAATTGTCACAATAAATTCTTTAATGAAGAGTTTTTTGGACAAGCATTCCTGGTGTTCAAGTTGTACCCATTCAGCTCCCTGATACAAAATGTCGTAATTTAGAATTTGTTTGGAAGTCATTAGTTTCTGAAATCCAAGAATTTATTTTACTTTGATCAATTCTCATGTTGCCCATAAAACTATTTTGACTAGTAAATGCTAACAGTGAGTGTTACCTCCAGGTAGTTCAGGATTTCTTTAATTTGTTTTTCCCTCTTTTAAAGAGCAATTCACAATCTGTTGATTTTTTTGGTTGTTGTTTTTGGTTGGTTGGTTTTTTGTTTGGTTTTGGGGTTTTTTTTAAGCAATCACCATCTTTATTAGGCAGTCATGCCTGTGCAGGAGAGAGGTAGAGAATGAAACCTCTTAAACTGGAATTATTGTGATGTGGGCCAGGAGCTTCCTTTGTAATCTCTCCCAATAAACCCATGCGTAGCTGCAGATCTCTCATTTAGTGAGCAGAGTTTTGCAGAGCTTTTGATGAGGCCTGGATTTTCAAGATAGATTCTGCTGTGGAGTGGTGCACCAAGCCTGTTTCCAGGCTTGAATACAGATGCTCCTATTACACCTGTGCTTTACTTGAAGTTTGTTCTCTTACACAGTATATCCTCTCTTTGCCTTAATCAGCTTGGGGATAGAGGAAGGAGAAGTTTCTTTCCTCTTTCTTCTCTTCACCCTGAATCAGCATTTTGTTTCTTACAGAATCAAGATGAATGGTGTACACATGTGTGACCTCTTAGAGGTTGTGGGGATTATGCTATTGAGCATAATAAAGTGACATCAATAAGCATAACACTGTTTTTAGAAGTCCCATCAGTTTTCTTTAGCACTCAGGTCAAAGTTTGATGTATTGTTTAGCTTATAGCATTGCTAATGTTAGTTGACAAGTAATTGTGTAAAGCCATAATACACAATGAACTAAACCTTTGTATATGTTGTGGGACAGTTTTCTAAACTATATTGTTGGCTGGTGTCAAATATGTATTATGTATAGGGATTTACTGTATCAACTTTCAGAGGTATATGAATGCTGCACAAAAAAATTTTCTCTGATTGTGCTTCAATAACTGTAGGAACTCATTTTAGCTGACTGTGTTCCTCTTCTGTTTGTACCTGCCTTAGTGATGGAATTCACCAGATGGCATTTTTTTCTGGAAAATACATGTTTTCCTTTATAAAAGTCTGTGTAGCATAGTACCTGTGCTCATTCATTCATGTAAGGGTAAGATTCTTGTGATGCCAGACGAGATATTTTCAGTGATGCAGTGCTGTTAAAACTGACAACTTGCATAATTTTGCTGTACAGAGTAGAATAATGGAAGTTTGAATGAGTACATTAAGAAACACAAAGAAAAACTAACATCACAACCAAAATCTCTTTGTCTACTTACAGCTTGTATTTGATTAATGTCAAATGAGAATCCATGGCATACGGAATTTCATTTCTGTTAAATGTTAAGACTTTAAAGTAGAATGTATATGTTCTTGTTAATCCTAGTGGAAACCTTAGCATTCTATTTTATAAATTCTTTAAATCAGTCTAGTGTCTTAAATGGGTGCTGTTGAATTGTAAAAAAAACCTAACTACTTTACCCTTACTTGTGTTTGAAAAAGTCTGGAAGCAAACCAGTGGCAATACCTGCTGAACATACTGTCCTGAAGTCTAATGCTTGCATTTTGATACCGTGCAGGATCAAGATGAGAATTCTTACTTGTTGGATGGCCAGTATATGCCATACAGGGGACACAATTCTTTCCGTGAGAAGTATTTCAGTGGTGTGACAAAGAGGATTGCCAAGGAAGAAAAAGACAATCAGAAGTAAAATATAATATAAACAGATTAAAAAATGAGAAAAGAATGGAGATCGTGTTTCTTTGTAAGGACATCTGGATATGAACATTCATTTGAATGTTTCAGAAAAACAAATACTGCTTTTAATTTTAAAACAAGATGAAACCCACAACACAGGTTGAGAGCAGTTCTTTTTAATTAGCTTTGTTTACAGCAGATTTTATTGTACAAGTTTTTTGAGTCTTATTTAATTTATATTTGTACTTTCAAGTACTAATGATGATTGACTAAAACCATTATTATTGTTCTTTCACCATTAACATTTACAAAAAAGTAGTAGTATTATTTGGCTTCTTAAACTGTGAACATCTGGCTGTTTGAGAAACACATGGTGGTGATCAAGAATTGCTTATTAAGAAGATAATTTTCATTTGTTTTGTTTTTTTGTATATGGTACACAATAAAACAAGATTGTCGTGAGTTTTTTTTAATTATTGCATGCAGTAATTGCTTGAATGAATTCCACTTGCTCTGGCTGAGGTCAGAAGTATTTAAAACAAACAAAAAATGCAAAGAAACAACTGGGCACGTGCACACCCCACAAAAAAGAAAAGGAAAGCCTCTGTGACCTGACAAACTCTGGAGAGCCTATTAAACCCTGTGAAGCCTGTCTGCATCTGAAGCTCATCTGTACCTTGGATTTGCTTTTGCATTCCTAAACCTTGACTCTTGGTCAAGCCAACTGTCTGCAATTTTTGGTTCATAAATTGATAGTTAAACCAGTAACAACAACAGCATAAAATCAGTAATGGTTCCCTAATGGTATTAAGCCTAATCAAATCTTTGAAACTGAAGCTGTATTTGTTAAAGGCAGACTTTGCTGAATCCACACCATGTCCATCATGAAAATACCTCATTTGAAAACCACTAAGCCCATTAATTCAGGATGTTAATGGTCCTTCTCATTTTGGTGGTTGAATATGGCCACATATTCTTCAGCAGGGCATTGATGAATGCATCTACTGCCTCCAGCCAGAGGAACCCCGCTTCTCAACTTGCCGCAGGTCGCCAGCTATGGTCATGTTAGCATCTTTGTAGATCATAGTTTTTAAGTGCCTCTCCAAGGAAGGCACGAGTCATTGTGTGTATCTGATCAAGTTCATTAACTGAATTTGCTCTTCTGTGTATTGTGGTCTTCAGCTGCAGAAGGAAAGCTTACAAACTCAGTGACAGCTTTGTCTGACCTTCTGGATCTAATTTGTTGTGTGTTAAAAAGTTCTCAAATAGTGATTTTTTTTCTCTGTTTCCATTATAAATCACTTTTTTTTGAGACTTCTTATGTCAACCATATAATAGTTGTTCTGGGCTAAACTTGGAGCAAGATCAAAAGTTCAGAAAAGTTTTCGAAAGTAGAATTTGAATTGATCACTTTCAAATATTACTTCAAAAATTACTGCTTCTGAAAACCTGTCTTCCTTTTGACATTACAATTTGGCATTCAGCTTTTATTACTTTACAAATTAAAATTACTTTCAATTCTTCATAGGCAAGAAATTTTTCTAAATGGATTTATTATGCCTTTATAACTTCATTTTCGTAAAAGTTCCCTTACACAGACATGATCTACATAGTTATACAGAAATGAAGGTAGTGGCAAATCTGGCTCTGTCTGTTCAATGAAAATGATTGAGTTTATTTCTCCTCTGCCTGGTCCAACTTTTAGTCCCTTCAGCAGTGGTGCTGTAGCCTCTGTTTAGCAGTTCATACATAACAGC